AGAGTGTTCCTTATGTCTACCCTTCGGATTTTTCGTCTTTTTTGTGTGCAAGCCTGCGTTCAATAGGTCTTTTCTATGACTGCCAGGGGCTTGTGCTTCTCCATTCGAGCAAAAAAATCTGCCCATTGAACAGGTATTCAGACAGTCTCTTGCAGGCAGGCAGACAATTGACCCAATTAAGTGCGGTCTCATCGAGGAATCGGGGCGTGCTGCGAGGAAGTTATAAACTTCGTGCCTGTCGTGCGACTTTTCTACTACAATTGGTTCTCTTTCTCTTTAGAACTTTTCTTCATTTTTTTCAATTTTCAGAGTCACTTCACTGGCGGACCAACTGAACGTTGACTTTGCTCTTATACACAAGGAACGCAAACGAGCCAATGAGGTAGACCGAATGGTGCTTGTCGGTGACGTGAAAGGCAGAGCGGCTATTCTGGTAGATGACATGGCCGATACCTGCGGTACAATTTGCACAGCTGCACAACGGTAAGGATCTCTTTACTTACTTTATGAGGGGGAGAGAATCAGAGGTCTTCCTGTGACCCGCGTCGTTTTTGAGCTATTTATACTCACTGACCAAGCTTACGAAGTGTTAGCCGACATGCTAAAGTGTGTTTCCGATTAGGAGGAATGACTTGAATGGGCTTGTAACTTTTGATTATTGTGCAGCATAATCCCAAAATTTTTCAGTCACGCTAGGTTGCCGGCTTTTGAATACATTTGTTGGCTTCCCGCAAAATATCACTAGATAAAAAAAAACAGTATAAGCAGAATTGATCCGTTGAATTCGTATGTCCTTGCAATTTTTTCAAAAGCATGCTCAAAATATTCCTTCGCATACTCATTTAGTGACCAGTCATGTATTTTACAGATTTTATACTCTAAAAAAGGATATCTCTGTCGGTTGCAAAAACGTTTGTAGTCATGGAATTATTTAAGACCGTAAAATGTTCATTCAAGTAGTATCGTATCTGTCCTTTGTTCCTTGTACACTAAATAACATAGTCCACATACATGGGAAAAAATGTTCGAGGACCATATGGTATCTTTTTATGGACGTAGAAAACATCTAGCTTGTAAAAGTTAAAGCCTAACGTGAATGTACCGGCTGGTCTAGCCCAAACCTATTGAATGAAAAGAATTTTTTTTTAAAACACAAATGTACCCTTTTTTCGAGGAAAACGCGATTTTCTATCAAAGGAGTACAAAATTGGATATTTATATCATGTTTTCTGTAAAATACATTAAAATTTATAAGGATATCGAAAGCTTCTCCCAGCCCTTATTCTCCTAAAAACCACAAATGATATCCCATTTTGAATTATGAGCCATGCCTTAGGAGTGCTCTTTTTGCTCAGTTACACTGCTGGCTCGTGTGAACTGAGTGTGAGTGTATCGTGAACTGAGTGTGAGTGTATTACATAAACAAGCGAGTAGTCGTCTACAATTGTGTCAACGACTTCTTTGGAATGTTCGGCTGTGCCGATGCATTTCTTAAATCCTATGTACCAAGAGGGAGTTCAAAGGCGTTTAGTTATATTTCCTTTAATAAACTTGACTTGACTTGACTTCATGCTACCTACGTAGCCACTGTTCATCACTTATGATTTTCGTATGCAGCCAAAAATAAACGCGCTCAAAAGCCGGCACAGAATTATGTCGCACGATGATCGATCCTAAAGCCCCAGTTAGGTAATCCTTCCTAATCTGAAACGTACCTTAGCATTTCGGGTTAACATTTCATGAGACTGCTCACTGATTACATATTACTGCTAAGTGTTGCATTTCGTAAATGGAAGAGAACAACATAAAAGTCCATGACAGAGGGCTCACCGTTGTATGAGAACTGTTCAAACCTATTACCGATGTCAAAACATGTGATGTTTATTGACGTCATGTAATTGTTTTGAGGCTTATTAGGACCTTTCTGGGGATTTTGGAATTGCGACCCTACCCTCTTTACTCTGGAAGTCCAGGCATTCCTTCCCTACCAATTTTATTCTGTGCCCTTTCCCTACCCCGGAAACATGAACAATATACATATCGTTTGATTTTTTTCTTGTTTTATTTACAGACCTTGTAAATGTACCTTTATGTTGTTCTAATCAATCACCCTCTCCGTCTAGCCTCACCGAAGCTGGCGCGACCCGGGTTTACGCGATCTGCACTCATGGCATTTTTTCCGGACCCGCTATCGAACGAATTAACAAGTCCTGCTTCGAAGCTGTTGTCGTCACCAATACGATTGACCAGAAGGAGAACATGAAGAAAGCTCCAAAACTGCAGGTAGGATTTGGACTCGTTAAGTTCTTGCTCATCAAGGGAAAGGTCAGAGACAAAACAGTTGTCAAGACTATAAAATGAGAATTCAAGTCCCAGTTGCTTATAAAGAGACAGCAGAATTTCCTTTCTGTGCAAACGTTTTAATTGTTTGTTTATTGAAACATAGCCCCCAATCATACTTGCCAAATACCCACAGTAAAAATCAGAAAGAGCTGCCAACAACGTGGAAAAAGGTGGCTGTTAAGGCTGTTAGCCAGATCTATTTTTTTGGTTTTCAATGTGTACTGTTAATAGGCAGACTTGCAAAAGGAGATAGGATGAGAAACACGAGGTGTTTTTGCAGGAGTTGCATAACAATAAAGCTGAATAATGTCCAAAGAATTCTGAAGAGCACTTGGTGAGCATCGGCAAGCTTTCGATTATATTAGTCGCTCGAGTCGGCGCCTATACACAAGAATAAACGAAACGTCCCATGGTTGATTCCGGACATAATGTGAACCCCAACGAAGCCTTCCGGGCGATTTATAGAGTCCCATCAAACTGCCCCAGGCCTCTGGGTTAGCGTCTGCTAGCAGCAGCGGAAGGAAGCAGGTCTTCTGTGCAAAAGGACCCGCAAGCTCCGCGCCTGGTATGGGCAACGGTAGTTTAAATACATGCACTTTTCCGTGCGCTCTCTCCCTCTCCTCCCCCTGGACCGGCTCAACCAAATCCTCACCGTCGCGTAACCCACCCTCTTATCAACCTCCACCCACTCCTATTCTCACAAATCACTTGGATGAAATGACGAACGTACTTGATCGCATGTTTACCTTTGATCCCCTTCCCATACAAATGTAATGGTCCGACGGGAATTTATCGAAAACTTACATATGCTCCCCAACTGCTCTTCTGCATATCCAAAGCGTTAATTAACGAAGTAAGGAAGGTAGAAATCGGAAGCATCTGGGCTCTCACAGCCGTCAGGGAAGCGGCCTTTCCAGAATATTTTAAGCAACTAGTTTTTAGTGCTGTAAATCTGGAAGCGGCTACGAAGGGCTCCGCGTGCAGGTAGGAAGTCGATATTCTAGTTCATGGGCTATGTGTCAACGTTACAATAAAAACTAACCTTGAGGTAAATACAACTTTGAATTCTGGCGAAATCCAAGTCACTCATATACCGACAGCCAATCCACGTACGTAGCCCTGCGCAGTAGTCTTCAAACAATACTACCTGAGTAGGTGCTCTTCATGTTATATAAGGTTGTCACTTCAACTCAGTTGAAATGCGATTATCACCGACAATAGAACGTATTAATACATTTCCTTTTTTGGATTTTCCCCGCCAGATGTCGCTCAGAGCTTGTTAGGTTTAATTCCTATTTATTTTATCTCACTTGTTCTATGTCTAGGCTGTACGTTTTTCGTTATGCAGAGCCATTGTCAGTATCTGTACTTTGTCTAGTTTGTCTAGGTTATCGGTATTCATGGATATTGGTATTTGTTCTTTTGATTTACTTGGAGGGCCAACTAGCCGTATAACACGTTTGTTGTACCTGACAACAACATTAAAATAAATGCTACGCATTACGCTGTATTATGAAAATGCAATCTGGCGAGTATTTCAATTTCCTTTCACGTTTTAAATTTCACCCCCGCCCCACAGTGCATCGATATCAGTACTGTCCTGGCCGAAGCCATCCGAAGAACGCACAACGGCGAATCAGTCTCCTACCTCTTCAACCACGTCCCGCTGTGATGTGCACCGTTCAAATGCCAGCGGGTGAAGTATGGATCACGAAGCAGGAGAGATATTTTGCTCAGCAGTGCTGTTTTATTCCAAAGGCAGTCTTACCCTCAAAGTTGAACGTTTGACAGATAGAAAAAAAAACTTGTTGCCTGTTTGACGGTCCCTTCTCTTTGAAACCCTCCGTCACTTTAGTCCTTTTTATTCATCCTTCGCTCTGCGCTCTTCCCCCCATCCATACTCACCCATTTACGTATTTCCTACTATTTTTGCATTCTAGTCTGCAGAATGTACAACTAGAGCCACGGCCGCTCTGCTGACATTTGTCGTGAGATACTTTATGTGGTAGACTCGTCGATTTGTCAGTTTTCCACCAAAATGCACAGTT